ATTAGCTACGACAATCATCGATCCGTGACGTATATTTACCAATGACAATTATATTTACTGCGGAGGTGGTGGACATGCCATTGGTGACTTATCGGCACATGCACAGGACAAGAACAGAAAAACATTTGGCCTTGTTTAACCTTGGAAACGGCTTTAACGTCGCTACGTAAGTTGCCCTGGGTTATTCATAAAGCTACAAATGAGAACTATATATGAACGAACAATAAGGCTAGAATGGAAGACCAAACCCACAGGCAAGTGGTGGCTGTCACAGTCCAGCTTTGTGAAATACGTCCCGCATTTTCAATTTGCAAGAACTAACTAAATTATGGATTTATTCAATATACATCTAGCTATACATTACTAGCGAGGTCTTGCAAAACACAGTCTTTTACGCGAAGCTTCCTAGAAGATTAGAAGGAGTAGATTGCCTTGCAAAATCTCTTAGCTTGTATATTGTTTAAGATATTCCAGAAATAAATCGGAGCCAGTATGTCCAGCACATCAAGAATAAGGTACAAAATGCGGAACGTTACTATTCTATTTAGACTTTCATGCAAGCAAAGGTCGACATCATCTGTAGATCATACCTTTACTTCATCACTGTTTCAGTGCAACTTTGTGCTCTAAAATATAGTGCCTCAGAAAACTCTGACTCAGAGTGACTGGTGCACGCCTGAACCAGCAGTAAATTTAAGCACACTTTATAAGGTCAACAGACGAATTCGTGATATACTTCATTGGTGTTGCTTCCTGTCTGTACCACGGAGCTGGTCGAAGTTACAGAGAGTTCTGCGGTGTCTTCTTCATTTTCTGTTTATCTTCGTCGACGGCTGCAGGATGCACCAGTTTTTGGTGTCGTCCTATATCACAGCCACTGTCTCCGTTGAGGCAGTGATTCTGTGCTTCCTTTCTCTCCATCCATGTTCATGAGGCGCCCACCAAAGTCGAGCCGCTTGAGTCCTCCTTGTTCGGTCTTTGAACGGCTTGGTATTAGTGCTGTGGTTCAGGGAGGTTTATGTAACAGCTGAGGCTGTCACGTCGATGGATCCTCAGCCTGTCTGATCCTGATCGATGAACGAGGTCTTACTTCGTTCTCGTGTGCGAGTGGCGGCACCCCTCCCCCCCCCCCTGCAGTAGATACACTACGACTCGATTGTTGTCAGTGTTGTCGTCCTGAACCAAACAGAAAAACCAGGCGAACATCCAACTTCAGTTGGTTTAGCAGAAGTTTTCGGATGCTGGTGTCGGTGAGGGACTTGGAATGCCTGCGAGTGTACTTAGATAACTTAGGAAAAAAGCAAAAAATTGCATCGATACGTCAACAGGATTTGTCTCGAAAGGCCATCATGGAGCAACGGAGTAACGGGGTTTCGCCATCGGGGCTGTTGAGAATGGGTGCAGAGGGGAGGGGTGAAGTTCTCATTGCAAGATTTACGCAAAAGTAAAATGCACGCTGCTTTCTGTTATATTTAATGTATATACCGTTGCTAATGCCAATATCGAAAATAATCTTGTGCTATGGCTTATCGGAATACTCATTGTAATATAAATATCCGTTCGAAGCATATCTGAACGAGACAAATATACCACTTTACATTAAAGGCTGGTTAGGCCATCTCTTTTTAGTGAAAAGGATAAAAATACATTATAAAAATTAAGCGTAAGCTGCATAAATATGCGTGTTTTTAACCTGAATCTTGTGCGGTTTTTTTTTTGAAAGAAACGCGCTATAATTTATTAAGATACAGAGAAAGAATTGCATAGAATATCATTGTTCTATAAAAAAAAAAAAACAAGCCTGAACCTTATATAAATAAAACACAGCAATGTCGTTTACATTTATATTAGAGAAATATTCATCGTTATTCATACCCGTAGGTTTTTCGATTTTATAACCCTAGCGATGCATGAGTTTTACAAAAAAAAATACCGATGTGTCGGGCTTAGGATCGTTGGAATTCTCGCGAAAGACTACATCCATAAATATATCGGCTATCCAAACCGCCAATCGAAGTTCGGTGCATAGAGATCAACGTATCGCACAAGGATGAACGCCTATGTAGATCTACCTCAAGTTGCACAAGATGTCCCACGCGATAAGGGTCTCTTATATCTCCAGAGTCGAGTACAACCGTTGACCGGTGCGATTCTGTACGGTTCATTGTTGTCGCCGTGAGACGATCGCGGATCATGGACGAGTTCAAAATATAACCCTCCGTAAGGTTGTACCACTACATAATACGAAAGATTCTCTCTTCGGATGACAGGAGGATGTCTTCATCATCCGAAATCTTGACATGGCTATGCGGAGTGTGTCCATGTATGTACATGTACACATGTAGCGGACGGCTAAGCTATTGGCTGAAAGAAACAAAGTGGCGCTGTCGTATGTCCCGCCAGGGACACGTACTAGGCAACCCGCGTGAATAACAGAAGTTTTAAATGTGGTCCGAAAGACAGACAATGGTACGAAAATATTTTGAGTACCGTCTGTGGAAGAAGGCTTTGACGACTTTTTCATGTTTTATTTTATGAACTTTCTACACAGAAAGTTAACTAAATTTAATTCGAAACTCATAGATTTCACTTACTAATATAAATGCCTTTGAAGGCGATAGCGGTAATCTGGTCCTCTGCTGTTTAAAAACGGCGAACAGCCAAACGACGAAAAGCTCTGGGAGCACGGCAGTTATATCAACATAATTATCTCACTCAAGTGACAAGGGAAATTCGACTTGTATAGCTTGGGTCTCTCTCACGTATTAACTTATCTTAAAGCTAATGCAGGTAGATATAAAATGCCTCAATAATATATACGCTAAATAGCATAATCCTCATCTTCGAATGAAAACCTTCCGAAAAATCCGTTAGAACAATGTAGAACATGACTCATTACCTCAAAGTGAAGCATGCGTGAGCAACGATATACGGCTTCGATAATCACTTTTTACTGCGCTACGCGGAAAACAAATTTGATCCTCGCAAGTATACTGATGTATGCTTGTGCATTTAACGGAAACAATTTTTCGGCCTTCGAAGTCTTCTTACTTTTACCTGGACAGCAATACGTCACGTTCGCAGTCATTATTACACGTTACCCGTGGGTGACTATGGTGTTCAATGATGGGCTCAAATATTATTATAAAAATATGATAGTATCCCTTATGCACGTACACGTTGCCAATTGTAGAACTTGTCTAGTATCAACTACTCTCTTTGACAGTATGCTATCGTTACTGCTATGCGCAACAGGCCTTCATAATATCTCAAACGAAGGACTGCGATGTTTCCTTTCCTCTGATCAATCTGAGAGGGCAACCTCAAAGTTATTCATATCTATTGCTAAATGACGTCTTGCTCCCTCGAGTACGATGTCGGCTACTTCAGAAGAATCGATCTAGGTCCACTTCGTTCCGAAGTGAATCACACCAGGGGAGGCCACTACCCGTTACGAACGTACAGTCGAACGGCGCGGTTCGTTGGTGCCGGTGGCCAAGAGATGTTTGCCTGCAAACATCGCTTTGTTATGAATATATCTAGAGTCCCGCCTCTTGCGGTCGCAGCCGACGAAAATCGGAGACATTGCACTGCAGTGCATAGTATCAGAGCTGTCCGAGCTGAAAGAGGGGGGGGGGCAGCGGTTTCGCATTGACCAAAAGCATCCGCACACTTCGGCTGACTTCGGCGAACTTCATCAGTAATGATGCAGAAGAGCCCAGCCCCGAAGAACGGCCATACGATCGGGACAGACTATAGAATTACCCGTCGTAACGATGGGCGTGATCAGAAATCGCGCTAATTTATGACCTACGCGCTACTGACCTACGTACGACAATTATTGCTATACGGGTGAAGCCGATAATAGAGAAAATACCTCAAGTGGACCGTAAACTGAAGAAAAATTGTGCAATTGCAATGGCTATCCCAAATGACAGTATACTGATATAAGGTAAGGCTCATGAACACAAAAACGACAGAACCAGTCCTTTTAACTAACACCGTTCGAACCTCACAACCTTGCTATACCTTACTATGCTCATCGATGAATAGTATATTTATAAAGCCTTAGGTATCTGCCGAAAATAAAATGAAGCTCGATTTATATTAGAATTTGTTGAGTGCAAATAAATGGGATCAACCCTGTAGCAGTCGACGAGGAATTTTAAGCTCGCCTAGGTGGTTTGTAGTTTCCAGGGGTAAGTTAATCTATTGATACCCATCGTCTACAAATCGTGCAACTGTAAAATGTAGGAGTCATTGTTGAGTATTCTGTGCGTTCAAGTACACTGAAAGACAAACGTTAGTTAAATGAATAAGAAGCCCTTCTACAGTCTTTTACTCATTGTTTTTAATTCTTGCGCATTTGATGACAATTCATCGAAGTTTTGAAGTACTCCGAAGTCAGCCCCGTAGTTATGCAAAAACTCTCGGACCGAATGGATTTCAAAACGAACGTGCCTTTTGACGTGCGTATAGTTAAATGACTTTTGGTGCCTATTGATAGAAAAAAAACATAGCACCCTTTTGAAGGTTTCGCTAACAAGCTGCGGCCCACCCCCAAAATAAGTTTATAAATATATTTACATCATTTTCATGGCTTTCGGCTCTTTCAAACAATGGAATACGAGAGGCCACGCAGGTATTCCAACGAATGGTTCAGTACGTATTTATTTGGATTAAGTCCTTGATAATCAGATTCCACACATTTTCGGCATATAGCTATATGGGTACCTTTGTGAATCGTGTAGTGAATATCGAACCATTATCTCATCCAATAAGATGCGGTCTCTAACAGAGACTGAACATAGAGAGTATTTTCCTCCTCTCCTAAAACGAGAATGGCTGCCCTCTCCCAATGGTCTGGGGGTTATAGACCCATGGTGCATAAAATCGCACGCCGCAGCTTCGTCCAATCAGTCCTTATCGACCGGAGCTGACGAACCCAGAGTAAGAGCGCTCTTATAGCATTTGTGCTATATTAGCTTTTATCAGGAAAAATGTTATTCGGTCCTATCGATACGGAATTGTCCCGTCCGTTACGGGAAACAGTGTCATCATGTGCACTGCAGGAGAATATTGAAAGTTTCCCACAGAAAAGGAAAAACTCCATGTCTTATCAGTGCCATGACGAAGCCACAGTGATGGATAGTATTGTACAGCATAAGGCCAAAAGATCAAGACGACTTCGGGCCAATGACCGTGAGCGGAATCGTATGCACAATCTCAACGACGCGCTGGATCGGCTTCGCACAGTGCTACCAGTCTGTGTTACCCCATCGAGTTCATCACCAGCAGTCAGCCAGGATTCATCGCTAAGCGAGCACATGGACGTGAACATGGAACGAGATGACCCGTTAAAGCTAACGAAAATTGAAACACTTCGATTCGCGCACAATTATATTTATGCATTGACGAAAACGCTCAAGATGTTGGACGGTCAGTGTAGCCCTGATCCTCTGCTGGCCGCTGTGGCTTTACAAGGCTCACAAACAAAAACATGTGCAAGTCACCTCAAGCACTCGATGAGACGTCGTCTTTCCAATATCCAGCTAGACCTCGAATTTGACCTCAAAGCTTCGAACTTAACCACGACAACAACACCAACCACTGGGCTTCCGATTGATATCTCCATGCCAACTGGTGTCGTATCTGACCATACCGTTTCGTGTCCCGTGACCAGCTTGCCCGCCGGGTCTTCCAATTGTGACCTCATCTTTGGCACAACCTCAGAATCAAACTTTTCCTCAACACCGTCTTCACCACTAAGTGATTACGGATTCAATCAGCAGCTCAGCCCATCTGGTTATTACACGGAGAACAGTTTCTATCAAAGCTAAAGGTTCCTGCTTCCATCATGGAAGATCGAATCTACGTTGTGAATTTTGCCTTTGCTTCAACACACGTATGCTATGTAACGTAACTGTGCGACCCTGTGAATATTTATTATGTTTGTACAATAAATAGTGTGTTTTTTATATAATCGCATATATATATATATACATTTTTTTTACATTGATAGGTATAGGTCTAGGTAATATACATGCTGCAGATGTTGGATATCAAAATGAACGAAGCTCACTTTACGCAAATACGTATATTTTTCGGGGCTCTTAAGTAAAAATATAGCAATAAAAAGATACTGCTAGCGTAAATCAAAGGTCGGTCATCGGTAGGTACACTGTTATATTGAATGATAACATCTTATAATTCATCGGTATTGAGCTCCTTAACCATTCAGTTAAAACGTAACGCTCTATTAAAAAAAATGGTGGTCTTTGAAAACGAAATAATTTGCCTGGCGTCCTTTCCTTTCCTTTCCTTTCCTTTAATTTACTAGGAAGGAAAATGCCTTTGTTCAAAGCTAACTTGAATTCTATGTTTGCAACTAAACAAACATATTAAAATAGAATGTAGGCTAACGAAAATACAGAGTTTTTAATAGTCGACAGTGTATGAATGGTTCACTACGAGGTTAATTTAAAATAGAGTAGATAAATGGACTTTTGGGTAAAAATAAGGAAACCTAAACAATCATATGGGCATAAATTACTTTTTATCAAAAAATAAAAAATGCCTTAGTGTTATGCTAAATGAACACTGACTTGGGCATTCAAGGTAGGCAGGTATTCGTTTCGGTTAGTTGGATATTGTTCAATTACTGAAGGATATACTTTATGGTTCTCATAATTATCTTCAGATAATTACTCAAGCTTCTTATAACCTCGAAGCTACTTAGCGCTTTCGTTGCAAGCTAAATAAATCTAGAAATGTTCATGCATCAGATTAACTTTACCTGTGGACAGCTTGAAGTCATTTTACGAAATGCGTGTGGTAAATGGACGACTAGATGTGGATAAAAGGCGAAATATATAGATTATAACATATAGACTCAATGTCAGCAATGACCGACAAGAAGGATCATGGCAAATGGAAAAGTTTTAGTTAGGAACAGTAAAGATTTCACATATCTCACGTAAACAAGATGGGTTGCCCCCCGCCCCCTATCAAACTTTTTCAAATTTACTTTTGACTGTTACCTTAATGAAAGTAAGTGCTAGAATCATGAAAACAGCAAAAAAAAAACCGAAATGAGAAAAACCATTAGAAAAACGAATTGCATTATTAGATAATTTCAAATTTTGATACCAGATCCAAAAGAAACAACAGCTCTAAATCATATTGTAACTTCAGTTCTACTATTGATAACTATCGAGGGGCTACAGTAATAGCATTTAGAACATCAAGCCAAGTAAGTTACTTCAGTCGTCATCACCTGCTATAAAACGAGCAAAGTTCACATTTAGCAAACTTCTCTAGGCAAGTTTAGGCTTCAGAGCTACAGTCCATTACGTATGGCAACAGCTGTCAATATAATAAATAAAGCTTAGAGAACCTTAGCTTGCGACTACGATTCATAGCGCTTCCTGAATGATTACGTCCTGACAGGTACTATATTGTTGACAAGAAGAAAAGCAGAAATGCCCATAGGCTTCTTCACTCAACTTCCAATTATTATATACCCTGGTAGATGATGCTCTTCAGAGAGCCAGACTGTGTCCTTTGTTAAACTGTCGGAACGCCTCGCAGAAGTTCTCAGGCACCATTAAGCCATTGGATTAGTGTTTGCCTATAACAAGGCTTGCGAAAGTTAGTCCCAGGTACTGAGCCACAAAATCTCCTCAACATACGAAGATGTCTTCGTTAGCCTTCGATTAGGCCTCGTCGACCGACCCTTCACGTCGCTCGTAACTGCTGCGCGATAATCTTATGTTTAATCTGCGGTCCGGTTATTGCCAATACCGCCACCAGTCGCGTAAGCCTATCTTACAATACGCACATTGTTGAAAGCGGAGCGGTACGTTTTGATGTGATTATACAACAACGCTAGCATCAATCATAACAACATAACAATAATAATAATGACGGCCAAAGCCATACGTGTACGATATAATCGTTGGCGCACACGAACGTAGATAATGCCGCCCCATAGCAGATTCAGGAAGTCGGTCCGTCAGTCCATTGTACAGAATGCTGCAGTATCGGCATGTTTATAGATGAGATCAAGCGATAACGTTGTGATAACTGCGGTGGGAGAGCGGACCTGCACACTCTAATCTGATAATTATCAATGCCTGTTCTCGATTGGATCGCTTTTGGATGCTACGCGAACGACTGTGCTATGAAAATCATTACGATGAAAAGCGACGACTGGTCCACGGTAGGCGATGTAGCGACGCTTAAAATTGATGACAATTAAGCTGGCAAAGTAGCGGCAAAGGTTGACACGAACTGTCGCTAGTTCTATTTGTTTACGGTTATGACTGCGTCATGTTTAGCTATGGGACGTGCCCGTTTATCGGACGTTCAGTAAGGTACAATTACGCAGTATTCAAGCAATCGTATACGCACGTAATTGAGCGGCGCAGTTTAGACAAAATTATATATATATTATTTGACCATTTTTCATTTTTAAGGACTCCTAGGCTTACTTTGGTACGGCAAAATCTAGGCCGGTATAGAACATTTATTTGTGTTGACTTCCCAACGCTGAAAGCTGTCTCGAGATAATGTGTTATTATGGGGGACGAAAATGGACATGTAGATTAAGCCAGACAGTTTGTCCCGTCACCGGAGACTGCAGGTCAGCTCATCCAATCCTGAGGAAATTTAAAATTGACCCGCGGTCTACCTGCTGTATTGTGTGATTGTAGGAGGATGTTTGTTCCCGTAAGCAGAAAACTTCTCTAGCGGTAGATCTCGTTTTGAACTATGACGTTTACTTGGTCGCGACAGCCTCTGCTCCGACAAGTAGGCAGTCAGTCTTCTGCCATCTGAGTACAAAGTCGCACCCATCTCTTCTCCTATCCATATGTAGAGCAGTCCAGTATATATTGTACAGTGAACATTACGTCACTAGCAGACAGTTGGAGATAAGCTAGGCCAATTGAGAAATGCTGTTTGGCTTTGCTCTGTTATCGTGTATATAAATGGGCGAAATACAGCCTTTAGTCTCGAATGGACAACAATCAAAACGACGGTTTCATCTTTTCGATTGTCATTAGGGTGTGACAACGGGTGTCCGGTTCGCTTGCCGCTTACGCTAGCCAGGGTCCTGACACCAGCAACGACAACACGACATGACCGGAGCTATATTCGAACTTTCGTAACCTCTCTACAGTGACTTTCGAATGTTAGGTAATGGCGGTCAGCTCAACTGCTGGGTGCAGTAGCAGCAATAGTAATTATGTGCCGCTCCCATCGTCGTCCAGTCGTGTCCTCAACTGTCCTTAGTTTTGAGTCTGATTGGTACCGGTTGTAGGACCTCGTCGACTTGCAGACGACACCTGCCCTGCGCTGGAGCTGGCTCACAACAAACGAATGTACGACGGCTCCAGTTATAGGATCAAAAAAAACCTTGACAATGCATCCGCGGGGCGGATCCTGCAAGGAAAGAAAAAGTTTGCAGTGCTTTTGTCATGGCGTAATGTTTTGATGAAAATACAACGACTAACTTTTCTTCATGGGGAATATTCGTAGCATGGCTGGTTGACGAGCCAAACGCTTCGTGATTTGATTTTGATCTTCGTCCTTTTTTTTGAAGATACCTTTTAGTTTTATAGAATTTGACGATATTCGGCTATTGAACGCGTATCGTCCAGCCAAAATACTACTATCACTCGCCCAGTCTGTCTATCAGTGTAAAATTTATAAGTCCATATATTGGAGAAATTCTTTGATGGATCTTCAGCACTGAGGTTTTGTATTACCGCCGTGTACATAAACAAGTGGACTGAGATAAAACTCTTTTTAAGTGATAGAAAAAACAAAAGCTGCAACATTGGTATAACAACCACCTGTAAAATCGTTGTTTTCTAACGATCGCTGCTGAAACATATATTGCTTTCTCTTCTTGACTAAGGCTCGTATTAACTCGGCACTGTTCTAGTTTCCTCTCCGTCCTGCCGCTCAAGGCTCGTAGCGGTTTGGTACCGGCCTGGTTTCCTCCGGCCGAGTCTAGCCAACACCAATATTGCGCGATATTCAAAGAATTGACAGAAGGCCGACATATGGAGGCCACGATACCAATGCCGAACGCGCACATCAACGGAGACACCGTCGAACAATCCGCAGCAGCCTATTTCGCTACCGGCATAGACAAGACCATCGATTGGCACGTGCCTAATATTGAAGCAACATACAGAGAAAAAAAAAGAGAAAAGTTACTGCAAAATATAGCACACAGAAGCCACCGGATACGGCGCTGTCCTCGTCGAAGAGCGATACGACACCACACACTGATCGGCTAAATTCGGTTATCTTCAACCAGTGCAGTTTGCGGACTCGAAACGCTCCACGCTGATGTGGCCCCATACCCGTACCGGGGTACAGAACGACATCGTCTCGCGATCGTCGACCACAGGTTGATATGTTGCTGCGTCCATTATAGGTTCACGCCAATAGTGGGTGGGATTGCCTCGACCTGTGCACCATGTTGGCAGACGAACCGACGATGATGCGTGGCATCATTGCGAGCGAGAGTTCGTACATGGGTAGAGGCATACAACCTTCAAAGAACAATCTGAAAATCTGTCGAGCTGCAAGAATATGATGAAGTATGAGTGTTGCTTGTTCTGCAGTGGTGTCCTTGAGATGTCTAAAACTCGAAGACTTTGAGAGACCGAACGAATATACATATAAGGATTATGCACATATACGTATATAATTGCAGACTACGAAAGAGGGCCGAAGCGGATCATCGTTGCACGTCACATTATTTGCTGGGGTTGTTTCTGTGATTGTGCTGAAAAAATAATCAGTGCCGTAGAATGCACATCGA